GCAAGGTTGAGACAGCACTGAGCTTGAGACTAGCACATATTTTTCTTACCTACTGCCCAATAAGCAAAAAAGGAATTTTCTGCTTTCTTCTTCTTCAGCTCTGGCCAGATCAATAGAGAGCCCAAAGACCTGCTTCCAGCAGTCACATTCTTGGCCAGACTCTTATCCACAGAATCTGGGACTCCTAGAGGTATCAAATGTATGTGTTATGACTGCTTGTTCTAAAAATCACTTTGTTTTTTTGGAGATTTTTAAAGGTTTACTGTTTCATTAATACAAACCAATACAAGCTTTGGGTGGAGAGGGTGAGTAACTACAGAGAAGCACCAAACTACCAAGTAATAAGTAGAGTTCTCCTAAAAATCCCAGAGGGCCAATTGGGAATCTAGCAGGAACCAGTGTGGCTCCAAGACTGGGGTTGTACATCCTGGGCCAGTGGCCAGGCTAACACTGTTCAGCTTCAATAGCCCTGGGGAAGCAGGGAAGACGGTTTCAAATTCATCTGTCATGAAATTAACTGGGTGTAAGATATCCCCATCGTGATCTCACTAATTTGCACACTAAGATGATTGTGTGTGTTATTTAAAGATGATGTTGTGTAAGTTTTCCCCAACTGTAGCTGTCCCAATGCTATGCCCATGACTCTCTACCAGATGGTTGGAGAGCAGGATTATTTTCTATAATCATCACACACAGAGAAAGTGCAGAAATGTCTTTTACTCATATAACAGGATTTTTAGAATTAACCCACTATCTGCTACTTAGTACTTTTTCCTCTTACTGTCCTGAAATTTTCAAACTTTCTTAAATTTTCCTAGGCCATTTTGCATTCTTGCACACTGTGTCATAAGTGTGCGAATGGTCACATTCAAGGAGCAAAAGTCACAAAGAGGGATTTAATGAGAAATACAGGTGAAAGGATGTAGGCTGGGTCAAGACACAGTAAGCTTTAAGGGAGCTGGTGGAAAGGGAGTAGAGATCAGGGCAGGATTTGGATGACTTGTGTGGTTTGAGTGACCAGAGGTGGGAATGGCAGTGGTAGTTCTGGGTAGAGGTGAGAGGACTGAAGTGAGAGAAGAAAGGGATAGAGGGAAGACTGCAGTAATCAAGACATCAAAGTAACAGGGCAGTGGAGTTTTAGCAGAGAAGACTGAAACCTTAAGGCCTTGCTGTGTGATGTGCCTCTCCTGGAAGACTCTTCTGAAGAAGAGGACTTACCTGTGGGTCAGGACTCCCACTCCACAGACTCCTCTCTGTCTTTGATACAGCTGTCTGCTTCGGAGGAAGTTCAGGACATCAGCAATGGACACCCCCCTCCCCGCAGCAGATGGGCAATATTCTGCCAACACAGCAGGAGTACTTGCAGTTAGAGGCAGAATCACTCTCCAACCCTAAAGAGAGATGTTGGCTCAAGAGGAAAACGCAGGGCACTGTTGTGAAGGACTGCTTAACTCAAGTCATGAATTCTAGGCAACCACTGACTGACTGCAGTTCTGAGCATAAGGGTATTTATGGTTCAGCCAAGCCAGCTTAAAAGGTTGGGTTTGGGCAACTAACACTGAAAAACAGTTCAAATCTGAAACTGAGGAGCCCAACTTACCAACTACACTACTGCTTACTCCCTCAAGGATAGATTTATGGTACTAATCTTGGCCATCTCACAGTAAACTTTTGGGTTAGGGCTAGGCTGCTTATTTCAGCTTACAACCTCCTGGTAACTGACCTCAGACGGTTTAACTACTGCTATTTGCTGTCACCCTCTGAACTAGGGCAAACTATTCATTACTGCTTAAGTAAATTCACAACTCACTGGAAACTCACTGCAGTGGTATAGGAACATCAGCTAAGTATTTTAAAATCTAACAAAAGATTTCATATTTCTAGATCTCAGTAGTTTGACTGAAGATCAATCATAATTAGTATGATGTAAGTCAAATGTATTTACTCTATTTATATTTTCTTTAAAATTATTGTCAGGAATGAAGATTGCTTTCCCTTGTCATGCATATGCCTTCTTTCGTCCATGTCTGTAACACCATATATGGAACAATAAGTATGTGCAAATTATGTTTATTCTATATTTGTTAGTTTTTTCCAGTATTGTTACTGCTAATAGTAGCAGTAATAGCAGCACAAGTAGTAGTAGTAATAAACACAGCTCTACTCACAGCTCAGGTGCAATCAAAAATATTCTTTATATAACCCTGCAAGCAATAAAATTGGTTGTGCATAGCAAGATAAAATTAGAACTTCATCAGCATTAACTTCAGGCTATGTCATCAGAGAATAACTAATTACAGAGCATCTAGGTTTTGAGAGTAGTATAGCCATATGCATCATTAATTTTAATCTTTTAGAAATACACATCACTTCCCTATGGGATTAAGGACATACTGTACAGGCCTTGTAGCTATGATCTTTCAAGAGGGAAGTGTATATTTTTCCAAATAATGTCTCTTTAAGGAAAATTCTTCTTTTGAGCCTTAAAATTTAAGGCAACCTGAACTCAAGGAAAGCAATTTCTGTCTTGCCCAGTAACATTTTAGTCTTTATCCAAATTAAACCATGTTATGTATACACTGCAGGTTTGAACACACGATTATTGCTCCAGCTAAGTACACTAATGATAATTATGCTGTATTTTCATAGAATAAAAGACACAACTAAGGCAAATCCCCATAGTCAGCAAACCTACTCAGGCATTAAGTATTAATTGGAAAAGCAGTATTCAGGGAAAGAAATGAACAGTCCATACAGACAAATGAAATTAACCTGGAATGTTTAGATTTGTTTGAACCAAGCAAATGTAATATCATTTGAATGAACTGGCTCAGTAATGGATTACATAAAGGTAAAAGAAATTTCATGATAGCTATACAACTCAAATTCTATTGCAAAATTTTAAATCATGTGCTTCCTAAAGTTATTAATCTGCTTTTGTAATTCTTTTATATCAGTGGTGGATATAGAACGTGTGGTCCTCCCAATATTGTTCAAGTCCTATCACCCCTAGCCAGAATGACCAATAGTAAAGGATGATGGGAGTTATATTCCAACAACTAGAACACCAAGGATTCATAACTTTTTTGACATTATATCCAATCCAATCCAACTCTAGTTGTGCTTTAAAGAGTTATATATGTAGGTATGTTAGCATGAGTATGCAAATACAGTCACACATGCATGATTTAATTAACATCCCATCTCAAGCAATGAGTTGATCTAGACCGACTGCATTAGCACTTTGATGTACAGTATAATGTGCATCATATTTATGCCAGCTGGTCTTGAGCAACGAATGATTCATGTGCCAATTTCTGTAGCTGATTATATGATCATATAAATGAGCTGAAGCCTTTATATATTCTTCATCAAATCTAATTTGGAAAGTACCACAAAACTGTAAGCATTAAACTAAAATATATTCATGTTTTGCTATGAATCAGAAAGAGTGATGCCATAAAGGCTTTTTTGCAGTGCCTGTTTATATTCTTTAAAATTATTTACTTGTATCCCAACTTTCTACCAAGCAAAAATGCCAAGCAATACAGCTTACAATCACAAATAAAAATTATTAAAAGAATAAAGCAATGCATTAAAGCACAATAAAAACACACAAAACTGATAAATAGTCTGAAGTAAATACCAAGCTAGGCTCATGTCGCTTCACAACTAAGTACGCTGTAGTGAACCATTTTCACATTACAAAATTACACATCCTGAAATTTCCAAGCACCTATGAGTCCTACACCTCTTAAAAGCACAAGTGTGGAAGGGTAACGTAGAAACACAGACCAATTAACTATATGAGCAAGCAGGTATAGCATATTTTTATGGCAAGCTTTTCCAAAACAATGAGTTATCAGGTTAAAAGAGAACAATAGATGCTTAGTATAGGAACCAGAAGAGTAACAGAAAACTGTACAAGTGGTTGCATAGTCTAAGGCAGTGATGGGCAGCTGTATTCCTGATGATTGGTTATGCTGACAGTGATTTCTGTAAGTTGAAATTGGAAGCATCTGGAGATCTAGCCATCCCAAGTCTAAGGCACTCTTACAAACACAGATCTGGTAGAAAAGGTTGGAAATGAGTGAAACCTTTGATAATCTGCTAGATGAATGAAAAATTAATGCAGCACTTGGACTGAGTGCTAACAAACAGCTACTCAGTACAAAGAAATGGATTTGGCTTTAGTGCACTAAAGAGTTGACTGACAAAGTACCAATGCATCTGCCAATAGCAGGAACATGTGGATCTCCAGATATTGTTAAGACTACAATAGTCCACACCCTTGACTATGCTAGCTAGGCCTGATATGGGAGTTCCACCCAATGTCAAAGCTACATTAAATTCTCACTTAATATGGAATAATGGTTGCTTTTTTAATCTTTTTTGTAGACTATTAAGGATTTTAAGTCTAACCCCTATTACAGTTTGACCATAAGAAAGCCCATATAGGCAAACATCAAAACAGTCTGTGTACCTGACCAGTTTTTCAGAGCATGCTTCTCAAAACTGAGATAAAACATTTTCATGCTTTGATAAGAAAAGCAGAACTAGCTATTGCATTCAGTCGTTATTATTAAAAATTATTCATGCAAGCATTGTGTGGGACGTGCAAAAGAGGCATTTCTTAGGTCCAGTGTCTTGGAAGATAGGAGGAATACAAATATGATGTTCAGGCTTATTAAGGAAATACTGCCATTTTTTGATCAAGTGCCCCAATGTAATATATGAATATTTCTCACATTGTGTTTGTTTTTTAATCCAGTTTGTTTTTAGAACTGTATTAACTAAGTTTTTAATCTTGGTTTTATTAATGTTAGGGGCTATAAGCACTTTTTGGGGTGGGGGGCATAAATCAAATTAAATCTGGGAATTATCAGAAGACTGGTTATGTGTGATGCTGCTGGAACGACACTAATGCTGAGTATGCACACAACATTCAGTAAGATTGGACAGAGCTACTTTCATCAAAAAATGTAAATGACATGTTGCAGTACATTAGAAAAAGCATTTTATTCAAGACACACATTTTCATCCAAGTTATTCATACTTTAACCCTATTTAAACTAAACAGTTAACCATACTTCAGCCCATTGAAATAAATGGAATTAAATCAGAATTGGGCAATACACATCCCCTCTCCCTTTCTGTGCAGCCCCCATTAGCCCCGTTGTTGTATTTGCAACAGCAACAAACAAACAAACTGGGTTGCTGCCAAAATTTGGAGACAAAATGATGGTGAAGAAAACTTATTTAGCTTTGAAACATGCCCTTTCTGGTGGGCACTGGGTGGTGGGAATGCAGTCTCTGCAGTGTTCTGAAGAAGAAACACCTTCCCTGGACTCCCAGGAGTTGTCTACCCCGACCTAATGAACAACTAATTCACTGTGCTACGCTAACCTGTAGATCCACTGGCTGGAGAGAGATCACCAACAGTTCTACTAGTGAAGGCTGGGGTGGGAAGACATGCCATGAAGGACTGCAGTACAACCACAGAAAGCTCCAGAAGTGTACATGTACTGCCGGAAGTGCTTCTACTTGCAGTAGGCACCAAAACAAGGTATTCCAGGGTAGGGCTGGGGATACCATTGGATCCACTACATCCAGAGTCCCTTCTTTCTCCCATGCAGTCTCAAATTCAGGCCCATCAGCTATGTCAGCCTAGAATGGCACAGTTAAATATGCTCAACACAACAGCTAATATAGATAACATAAAATAAATATTAACTCAAAGATTAGGACAAGCCCTGAAATACTTCCCATTCTATGTATTCTAAGCCTATTCAAAAATATCAGTTCTTGCAGATAGCTATAGTTAGTAGGAGAACCACATCTAGCTCATCATGAATTTGCAATTACCTGTCAATCTGGCATAATGAAGAATACAACTACCTTAATAGGAATACACCTATATAAATATATATATTTGTAATGGTAGCTGTATATTTACATGAAGTGCATGCACACAGAGACTGAATTTGGGATTGAACATGCTCACTTTGGAGTATTTTAATTTACAAGACCCATTGGCAACTTTGAGGAATTAAGAAGTTATCCAACTATACAGTTATGAATCTGTTAAACACAAAATTTCAAATTTTAATTTTTTTGCTTTCACACATTAAAAATATACAAAGGAAGTTAAGCTTCTCAAACATATTAATAGTCAGAGACACTACTTGGAAAATGACTACCTCATTTCTCTGAAGTCATGGTTGGTTTGTCACAGATATAAAAAAATTATCAGAATATTCAGCTTTTACATTGTCAGTACATAATGAACTGCAATGAACAACTTACAGGTTTAAGAAAAAGCATATCACAGAAGGTAAAGATACAGAAATGGAAACAATAAATTAATTGAAAACACAAATTGAAGATCACAATTCAATGAGTACTCTTTAAAGGAAAGGTATGGGCAATAATAAGCCTAAAATACAAGTATGGTCACAGCCTTAAAATAAATAGCTTTATATGCCACCTACATTGGAAATAAAAAGTATGCTGTTTATTTCAAAACAAAACAAAACAAGGAACCATTTGCACATTTGTTTTTCCTGGGCTTTTGTTGTTGCTTTTTTATATAAACTTAGGTTTTTCAAATGATTTATTTCAAAATAATAAAAGCCATCGGTCTTTATATATGATTGAGGAAGTTGAGAAAATCAATAAAATTTTCATTACCAGAACTGGGGAAACAAACAAAAAACTTCAGAAGAATCATTGGAACAAATTTCTTAATTTCTTGACTTGTTTTGCGTGGTGCATTATTTTTATAAATGAGTGATTAAATTCAGAAGAAATAAAAATAGCAGTAATCAGCAAGTACAAATTTAACAGCATCAGTGGTATCAAGTTGTTATTAAAGCTTGGCAGGTGTACACACTAGTACATACATGCAACCCCCTTGGTAAGCCTTTCCCCAGCTGTTATTCGCCATTTCTTTTAAGCAACAGCTAAGGCAGGGGAGACAGAATGAATTATATACTGATGAACAAATACTGATCCTGTTTATTTGCCTGTACTAGATGCTGTACATGAAGTACATTGAAACATATACATAAATGTATAACAAATACCATATTTCAGAAAGGTGGGGCTCGTGTCCACATAAGATATTCTACCAATATGGTATGCCACTAAATATGCCCAGTTAAAAGGCAAAGTATAGAATACATATAATCTTTTTAAGAGACAGTCAGGATTTGGGAGTTGTATATTTTCTTGCAATACCTTTTAAGAGACACCCTGCAATGAAGCCAACATATTTTATGGTCTTAAGAGTGCTAATTAAACAGGGATATAAATATTATAATATACAAATAACTCTGTCCTTGCAGCTGGAATTTCAAAGCATTATTGGACTGACCAATCCATCTATGTGATGTGCATTATTTAAGCAAGTGGAATGGCAGGGGGAAATTTTAAAAAAGGTGACAACATAATGGCTATGTTTGCACATAATCCTAAACTGTGGTTTAATATTAGAAGGCACATGCTACTACCTCTCCCCACATCAATACCATGTTTTCAGGCAATTTGGAAGCTTTAGGCTAACTGTCCAAACTGAGACAAATAACAACCATTTATAACTTATGCCTCATGGAAACAAGTCAGTTTCAAAGTTTAACAACACTGGCTTGTTTCATTAACCATAGTTAACATTAATCACAATTTAGCATTTCGATGCAACACTAACCTGTGATTAAACCAAAGCAGAAGTTTCCAAACTCTGTGTAGCTGCACCACTGGAGAGGAAAATGGGGAGTATATCAGCCAAAGGCTCACTGTGACTTATCCTCATAATGATAAACCATGGTTTAGTGATATATGCAAACCAGGCCATTGAATTGTTTGAATATGCATACTGTTAACACCAGTTTTGCTTAATGTAGGTTAATGTCTCTTTTGAAAAGATAAAAGTCATAGTAGAGCACTTGGCATAGTGTGCCATACAGTGAGAAGCATTGCCTTGTATTAAGCTGGCATATCTGAGGACATACGTAAGCGGATTCTGAACCCTACTACCAATAACTTTTAGGACTGTAATAACGAAAACCAGCCTGAGGTACACTTGACTTGCTTACTACTATCTTAATTAATCGTGTGCACACACATGTTGCTATTGTTGTATTGAGGCACTTAAGTTTAGCAGAGTACTTCTGTTGTAAACAGTCTAATGAAAGTCTCTGAAGTCAAAGCATACGTGAATACAAAGTTAGTTTATCCAGAGCGGCTTAATGTACAAATATTATTTTCTACTAAGACACTTAAATTTAGCATATTAGTCTCTAGTGTATACCCAAATTTTTAATAAAACCAAATAAAAATAATTGAAGTTTTCAATCTCAACTCCCCTCACACTTTCAGGAATTCTAAAATTATTTGTACAAAGCATAGCACGCTAGGCTGTGCAGTACGAAAACTATCGAAGTACTTCTTTTAGCCTCTTTCTGCACCTGCAACCAATTAATATTTCAACTGAAAATGCCAATGCTCTATCCAAATGCTGCAGCTGTTACATGGGTTTGTTAAAAGCTACTATAAACTGGAAAAGAACCAGTGTATGACTGTAACAGGCTCTGGGTGCAATCTAGATCCATTAAACTCTATGGGAATGTTGCCACCAACTTCAATGGAATATAGATTAACCCCAACAAGCCTTTTGAGTAAGTGCATTACTACATTATACAAAGAGAATTTCTCAAAAATACCAAAATTAAACATTGAGTTTCTTATGTACTGCAAAAGCAACACACAACAGAATGTACATACAGTAATAATTTATTCTGAAATGTCCATTTAGTTCTGTTGAGACCTCACCTATGTCTCATTAATAAAAGAGCAGCCATCTCACCTCAAATACCAGAATATACAACAAGTTACAGCATAGCAAAAATCCTACCTACTGTCTGTTAGAATCTAGTTCTGGTAAAATAATTTTGTTCAAGGTTTACACATACACAGATTGCCTTTTTTCTTTTCTTTTTTGCAGAGCACAAAACCAAAAGGTAATCATTACACCATAACTATCTATGCACGTTATGTGACCACAGAAATGTTAACTGTTTCAGAAAATGAACCATCAGTTCTATCCATGCAGAAAAAATAGGCTTGTTCAGCAGAAACCATATTACTGTGAATTTCACAGCCACATGATTAATCATTAGGTTAGGTGGCTTCACAAATACTAAGATGGAGTATTTTATTTTATTTTATTTTTGCATAAATACCAATTTCTCCCTGATGTACTTTAGTTAATTTGCTAATCTAGAAATGAGTAATACAGCAATAGTATTATTTTTTAAATCTCTGTTCATATCTCCTGAACCCCCCACCCCACCAAAACAATTAAAGGTATGGGTTGTTAATTAAATATATGTAAAACATACTGTACAAATATAATCACTTTAGCAATTTTATTGCTAAATTATCACTCGGGAATCCCTCAATTATTATCAGTGAAGACAAAGAATATCAAATATGGCTTCCAGAACAAGGACCTCTACAAGAATCAAACCTATTTACAACACACAAAAAATGTATAATTTCATCAAAAAGTTCCACATATAGCATAACACATCAGAATCTTTCATTAAACAGACGTCACCAGGTACGATCCAGAATGGCGTTTAGGACTTTGAGCACCACTTGAATCTGTACTTTCAGTCTTTGAATCTCGCTTTTTTGTACTGTTATTTACTGGCGTTGGTATCTGTGATGGCCGAACAGAACTATTATCCACACTGCTTTTCCTGGGGCTTGGATTATAGTTGAAAGGAGTCACTCGTGCTGCAACAGCTCCACTGGGAGAACTGTGTTTACTTGAGCTACTGGAACTGAATGGTGTACGTTCATTAACAGTGTTTTCACTAGTCTCTGGGGCAGGAATTGAATTGCTTAGCACAGGCTTTGCTTCAGTACCTTTCTTGTCTGGACTATCTGCTTGAATATAAGAATTTAGACGATTTTCTAACCCCATGGTGCGAACTGGAACATTTCCATTCCCTGCATTTTGTTTTCCATGAAGATCTTTAGACTCTTTACTATTCACATTACCTTTCTCAGAAAGGCTGTCAATAATGGGGGGAGTGTTTCCAGTGGGAGATTTTCCAGATCTAGGATTATTAATAGGACAGTCCTCGATTCTCACCCACACATCCTCTGTCTTGGAGACAGCAGGTGCCATCTGGTAAATTAAAGTTTTTGAATCGGTACCATTAGCAGTACATGATGAGGTATTCTGAGGTGGACTTGTCATTATCTGAGGAATTTCATTTTCCTTTATCTTTCTCCAAGTACCTTTTGTAGGTGCTTGGCTCTCTTTAGTTTGCCTGAGTCCAGAAAAAGCGCTTACATGTTGTTTTTCATCCTCACTTTTTGCCTTTTCACTGGATTCTGAAGAAGCTGACAGAATTGAGGAAGAACTTCCAGTCCTTCGCCAAGTGCTTACACGAGGAAGGGATGAGGAATGTTTACTGTGCTCACGCTTCCATGTCCCTGATCTATTAATTGGCAGCCTAGAAGGACTCTCAGAGTGAGATCGAGTTATGTCATGTCGTTTAGTTGGCCTCCCATCACTGTATTCTAAAGAAGGACTCAGATTAGGAGGTAACTTTCGCCACCCACTAGCTTGGATAGCTGAATGAGCAGATAAAGACATGTCAGGAAGTGAGGGACTTAAAACTGGGGTCTGTGTTTGTGACTGAGTGGGAGAGTCTGGTCTAGAAGGGGATAAAGATTCAAATGATGCAGACTCTTCTAATTTCCTTCTTAGAGTAGGACTTGGAGTTTCCTTAATAAAAGTCGACTGACGGACTAGAACAGGTCTCTCTGATCGGTCAGATTCACTCCCACTGGACTTGGCTGATGACATTCTAGATAATTCAGCCTTTTTGTTTGATCCACTGATACCAGAAACTTGATTTAAACCTTTTGAGGCAGATTCACTTCTAGGAATGCCACTAGTACTTTTAGGCAGTCCTGTTTGTTTTGCCATAGTTTGCTGACCCATCTGTCTGCCTGGGGATGTGTACGTCATTCTTCCTGAACCTGAAGACTTGGTGGAAGCTGTACTTGGAGATGATGTTCTTGGCAGCTGGGAGAGTTTATTAGGAGGACTTATGCCATTTCTGCCTGGAGAAATTGAATTTCGGCCAGGTGATTGCAGAGGCCTGGTTAAGGGTTGCTGTTGTGGTCTAGAAGGTGTAGAATCTCTAGATCCTGACCTAGAAGGTCCTTTACTTGATGCACCCTGTTGAGATGGCTGCCTGGATAGAGGGTTTGGTTCAGATTTCACAGATGGTTTGGTTACTCTAGGAGAACTAGTAGAACTCTGGCCTTCATTGGGGCTTTTAGAAGCTGTACTCTTTAGCTGGGGCCCTTTTTTAGAAACTGGACTAGTACTTGAAGAACTATTTCGAACTCCAGGAATATGAATCATTGTTCTTCCTCGAGAGATTGAGGGCATATTTGTCTGCAAAGGCTGTTTCAAATGACTTGTAAGTTCAGAATTAGAACGTGCTTTACCTGTAATCATACTTTTATATACTTTCTTTCCTCCTTTGATACTTTTATTTTCAGAATCTACTTTCTTACTTTCCAGTGTCCCCTTTTCACCTGGTTTAATAATTCTTGGACCCTTATTACTAGTAAAAGGTTTTTCTTCTTGGTCTGGTGTAAGATGAAAAGGTGATCCTAAAGAAATTCCAGATTTTAATGAAAGAATTGAATCAGAGTCTGATGAAGCTTGCCTAGATAGGGATGCTGCAGCAGCAGCTTGATGCAAGCTGCTAACTATAGAATTTGCACCTTCTTGAATAGCTTTCCAGTCAAAATTCTCTGAATCTGGTGAGAAACCATGCTCTGAATCAGGCCTTTGTATATCTTTCAGATCTAGTGTCAGATCTTCTGCCAAAATGCCTCCCATATTTCTAGAGCTATTTTTTTCACTGTCCCCCTTCGCTCTTGAAGGCTTTTTCTTTTTAGGCATAGCAGAACTAATACATTCCTGCAAAAGATCATCCTCCGAGTCAATACTGAGAGAACTGAGGGAACTGTTCCTTGAAAAACATACAGGAGTATCTTCAACATGAAATGATTTAGGAGCATAGCCAGAAACCTGTGGCCTATTTGATTCTATCTCTGCATCAGATGGTTCTATTTGTTCTACGGGTTCACTTTCTTTGTTGTTGTTTTCTTGATCAATATCACTGAGAGAACTCAGAGAAGAATTACGGGAAAAGCAAACAGGAGTATTTTCTATCGCAAAATTTTGTGTTTTTTCATCTGCAGCTGCACTCCTATCTGCAATATCTTTGGGTGACTGAGAGAAAGGGGCCTGTTTCTGCACCAGATGTTTTGATTGATTTCTTCCTGCTGCAGTGTGTTTTTGGCAAGCTTGTGTTCTGTTCTCTGATTGTTGGTTTGAGATCTGTTCTGTATTAGCACTGGATTTCATTTCACTTTCTTTCCCCTTTCTGAGTTCTGCCTTCTCCCTCGAAAGATCCACATCATCATCGAAGTCTAAAGAGCTCAAAGAGTCGTTTCTTGAAAAACAATATGGAGTTCCTTCAATTGGAGTGTAATGGTGGGGAGAATCAAATGTGAAGCTTCCTCTTGTACGCTCTTCATTATTTGGAAGTTTATCATTAAAGTCCCTTGAGTTATTTTTAACATTTTGTTTCTTTGTATCTTTGTTGTCTGTATGGGTTCGTTCACTACTAAAATTACTTTTTGGTTCTGTAGCTTTTCGTAACCGTGCTCTGTATTCATTACTTTGGGGCATGGGTTTTACTGGTGAGGTTGGTTTCTTTTTCTCAGCTTCCAGCTGATTTTTAGTATTTACTGATGAGGATGTAGATGCTTGCTGGATTTGATCCATTATCTTTTTCACTCTGAAAGGCTTATGGCTTTTCCCTTTAGGCATAGCAGAATTAATACATTCAGCAAGAATATCATCACCTTCTTCTCCTTTGTCATCATCCAACCCAACGGTAGTCCCAGTTGAACTTTTCCCATGAGTGTCATCGGTACTTCTGCCTTCTGTGGGAATGGTATCTCTCTTTTCAAATTCAGCTGATTCTGTTCCTGTAACAGCAGCTTCTGTACTGACCAATTCATTTGGTGGTGATTCAATTGTGAGATCACTCAGAGATGTAGCTGTTGAGAAATTTATTGGTGTTCCCTCCACACAATAAACACGTGGCATATCATCTCCAGGTGTAAAACTAACATGCTTCTGAGAATGTGATCTGTTCTGGGATGGGAGCAGCTTATATACAGGCAGCTGGCTTGGTTTCCTGGCTACAGGTGGAGGTATTTTTGAAGCTGTTATCTGTGAAGGCTTTTTGGCTTTACGTGATGATTTCGTTGGCATCGCAGAAATAATGCATTCCTCCAATATTTCAATATCATCTTCATCTGAATCATCTAGTATATCTTTTTCTGTTTCTGTGGGCTTTTCTGTCTTCTCTTGATTATCCTTTGTACTGTTTGGCTGTTCTGCTTCATTCCCATGGTCATTTTCATGTACAGGAGGCATTATTCTCAACTCAACATCTTTCTGAATAAATGGTTCATCAAGACTCAAAGCGCTTAGGCTTGATGAACAAGAAAACCCATCAGGCGTACTTTCTGTAGCAAAATGTAACAAGGTGTCTGCATCCTGCAATACCTGTACTCTCTGGACTGCTGTATTTACAGCAGTTTGTCTTGGTCCAGATTCTCGTTTTTCAGTATTGGGTATTTTAGTTTTGGCTACTTCTCTCTTTACTTGTGCCACTTGTGCAGGGGGTGGAGTTTTACTTCTGCTTGGTGGCATTGTTTGCCCAGGACTATCTGGAAGGTCACTTGGGCTTATAATGCCACTAACCATCCCACTGCAAGGTTCACTCTGAACTGAGCTAGCAATTGAACGACTCTCAAAACTATCCAAGGAACTTACTGAGGTGCACCTACTAAACATGAGTGGGGTCTCCTGCACATAATGTTCTGGTGGGCTCTTAGGAGTCTGAGCACCACTTTTTGAAGGAGATTTAGCGCCTGAAGAAAGCTCAACAGCTTTATGTCTTACTGAATCAGAAGGAGATAAAGTAGAAGTCTGAAGCCTGTTTGATTTTGTTCTAACGTGCTGAGAGGTTGATGTTTCATTTACTGTTCCAGCTGCAGTCCCACTATTTTCTTTCATTCCCACTATCTTTAGAGAATTATCAGTATCTGCTACACGTGTAGCTTGATCACGTCCCGTTTCATCTTCAGCTGATGACAAAGATGACAGAGAGCTACATCTTGAAAAGCATATTGGTGTATCTTCCACACAATAGGTTTGGATTGTTTCCTGGTTAATTGAGGGTGATTTGCAGGATGCAGACTTCTGAGTATGGCTTGTTCTATTCTGAGCAGAATTTGGATGAAGTTGGTTATGTCTCTTGGAGCCAGCTGAAGTTGATGTATTTCCACTACTTGATGAAATATGATCTGTTTTAGTGCTCTGTACTGATGGACTTTTTGAAAAAGAAAAAGATGGTTTCTGTGCAGGAGGAGGAACATCTGTTGAATATTTGAGGCTGTAATCAATTGGCTGATCCACATGTTGCTCCTCTTCATTGTATTTTATGCTATAGTTAGTTGGATGATCTTCTTCCTCATGCTGTTCCTCCTCTGAGTAACGCTCACTGTAATTAGTAGGTTTATCATCCTCATAATCATCAACTTGACATAAAGACTGGTTCACTTTTGGATTTATTCCATGACTGCAGCCTACTCTGCCTTGTTCTGAATTGTTGGATTCTCTTGATCTGAAAGGAGAGACACATTCTGGCTGTCCAAAAGCTGCCTGGTAGGTCATGTGTTTATTATCACCACTTTCAGTATATACAGTATATGCTCCACTTTGGCTTCTGGATTGCCTTTGTTCATTCTGCTTTATTTCGTCTTCTATTATATGTTTGGGTCTTGCCCATCTTTCATTCTGAGAGGGACTTTGCCTTCCAGAATTTAATTGCTCATCTGAATATTTTAGACTATAGTTTATTGGAGTATCTAGTTCTCCATCATTGTCATCCATATGATTAGCACTATGTATTTTATGGGCTAAATCAGCAGGATACTGTCCATAACTGCAAAATTTGCTTTCTTCATCTTCAGAATAGGATTCAATAGGCTTCATTTGCCCTCTTTTACCATAACCATCACTACTACTCACACTGTTTAAGCTATCATTAGAAGCTCTCTTATACTCCACTTTTGCATAAGGTACAGGACACGTCCTGTTCTCAGATTTAGCAAAGTTGTAAGTATTTGTGTGCGAATGGGCAGTGGATGTTCTTCTTAAAGCATTCCTGTCATCTGACAAACAGTGCATTTCGGTTAGAGATCCATTACTTCTCTCTTCTTGTGGAATATGCATACTGGTTACTTCTTCCATTACTTTAGAAATTTGGGCCGAAGCTGTAGAAATCTGCATTCCTATTCGTTTAGAAGAGTTCCCAGAACTTTCTGTTCCTGAATGATAATTGCTTAATCCTATTGCACGCTCTCTGTCCAAGCTTCTGTCCTTTTCTGACCGAGAACTCTCTATATTACCTCTGCTTGAAGAAGAGGAGCCAGGCAACATTGTATTGTTTAAATATGGTGAAAGCACAGTCATGTTACTACTATTAAAATTCTCTGACCTGCATACTCCATCTTCATGTCGATTACCATCTAAAACATATTCACTGTACAGGTTCTGTTTATGTCTTTGCTTATTACGGTGAGATGTTTTAGGACTTAAGTTATCGATGTTGTCAAAAGTCTCAGATAAATGTTGAGCATCTAACTCTGCTTCCAATGCTTTTTGTTTTCTGACATGAAGAGATGGCAAGCTTGAACCTGGAGACATGATGTTGGCATCCTTATATTTTGCAGGTCTGTTTGCCATTAGGTTCCTCAGAGCTGCTGCACTGCCCATGGCTATCATTTTGTGCTTTGAATGTATGAGATTTTTGAGCATGCTAACTGCTCCCATGTCCCACAATGCTTCCTGGTCCTTTGCATTTCGTGCAGAGAGGTTCCACAGTGTTCCACAGGCATTACTGACTATTGTTAAGCTGTGAGACTTCAAGTGATGTAACAGGGTTTGCAAACAGCTGCTCTCTCTTAGGATTTGCCTGGAATTAAGATGTGAACATAAAAACCTCCAGTAAGCATCACTTTAGCAAGACAAAAAATACTCAAGTTATCACTGTTTATTTTCTGTTGGTATTGCTGGAAGCATGCAAACAATATACAGGGTTGTCAATCCACATAAAGGCATGATCCAAAGAAGACTATTTGTGTACATAAATGCTATGGCTGAACTGAAACAGTTGCCCAGATTCTTAAGCACCCATCTGAGTCAGACATTTTAATTTTAATTTAACAATGGAACTTTTTCGGGGAAAGACATGTTTCAGAGGAGAAGGCACCACTAACCCTCACAGCAACAGAAGTGGTTTTCTGTTCTCCCTCCTCTCACTTTTTAAAAAACTTTCCAGTTTTTTAAACTGGAAGGCATAAGGACACTTTTACACAAAAAAGCAGAGGAGGGAGGATAGGAAGTTGCTTCTGTTGCCACTGTATGTGCTCCATGACCTTCTAGAACATTCCATCCTCCAAAAATTATTTCTGTCTCAGATCTCCCCAACAAATCATGACCTGTCTTTTAGCGAATGAACACTCAAACTCTCCCCACCAACCAACCTAGGAAACCACCTATTTCAGGGAGATTCAGTAAAGCCCTTACAACTTTAGGCACTGTCAATCTGAATGGTCTTTATTACCTTTGGGGATGACTTTCTGAATTGTCCTAGGAGCTGTACTACAGGCATATTTGCCTACAGCTTGCTGTTCTTCGGATTCCATCAAACCAATAAAAGACTTATTTTTAAATAATTAAGCAGATAATTGCCCAGTTAAAGATTTTGGTAGTTCAACACAAATAGCAGTATTGAATTTTGTCCTCCAATGAAATTTCTTAATCCACATTTTGTAAGAACACTGTACCATAAATAATTACCATACAAAAACATTCAGTACAATCTTAGTGTTTCAAGTGTTGAACTGGGACTCAGGAGATCTGGGTTCTAGTCCCCACTTGATCAAGAATCTCACTGGGTGACTTTGGGCCAAACCCTGACTACCATCCTAACTCACCTCACAAGGTTGTTGTGAGGACAGGGGAAATCCGAAAGGAAACAGAAATGCTCCTTTCTGAAATGCGGCAGGTTGACAGAGGTTGCATAGAGGAGCTCCTCTCACTTGTCCTGTTCTAAAATGAGCGTGCCTGCTTATTTTAGGGGACTACTTTTGCAAGTACTAAATCACCACTGCATAAGCAGTAAATGCCACTCAGTGGAATGGCAGGACTGGACGCTCACAGAATGGAAGTGGTGATGGACTCTGTTTGCAGACAGGTAGCTCTGGATAATGTTCAATGTCTGCTCCACCATGAATCTGCATAAAATATAGGGCTTGCTTCCATGCAGAAAGCTGAACCTGGAGTCATGAACCTACAGTACAGGCAGAGGGGATGCAGGGCCACTTCAACAACTCTGGTAAGATGGGTGAAATATAAAGAAATAAAGTGGAACACCTACCTATGGTCTTCATTTGTAGCAATCAAGCTAGAGACATTACGCAGGATTCCACCTCCACTTTCAATGATGGCTAAAGTATTTGTTTGGCTCCGGTAAGTCAGTGTGCCAACTAAAAAGGCAAGAGCACCATCCACAGCACAAATATCAGCTTTATTTTCAGTGCAATGTGCTGACAAATTCCATAAGGCACTCAACACACTTTTTAGGGTAGATTCCTGCAGGGAGTAAAAATACACAGTTCTGAGGTGAAACTATGAATTAAGTAATGAGAATTTTGATACTTTAATAGCAGCTTCATTGTCAGAACTGCACACATAGTACAAGTGAGCCTCGTTGATTCACTGGGACATACTTCTGAGTATGCCCAAAATTTCACTGTAACTTAGTCATAAGGTCCCACTGCAATCCATGGCAAACAAATTACTTCAGCTGGTTTTATTGGAAGTCAAGTGTGACTAACTTAGTATGAATCCAACTTGATAGGTTTGAATATGTGGCTCCTAACAAATAAACACAGGAATCGGGCAAGTTCTGAAAATGTTTCAGTCTGCTACTGGACTAAGGAACTCTAAGTAGAATCCAACTAGTTTCTCTGTGCTCATAAGAAGACTTCTGTCAGCAAAGGGATACTAGTTTTTATTTACTTAAACTTTTTTTAAAAGGTATCAAAATAATTCTAGATACATAAATATTGAAAATTATTTTGCAAACAGGACCTTTTTAACTTCCAAAGCACACTCCATCAAGGCTTTCACACTTCCAACCTCACGTAATGTCTTCTTACTGTTCACATCTGCTCGCCAAGACAAATTTCTCAATACACTTGCAATTACCTATAAAATGGCATAAGAAAGCTTAATTTAACTTTTACATCTCTTATGATTTTCACCTACTGTATGATACTTGCTGAACACCAGAAAATGGTTCAGGATGTCGCATTTCTGCATATGTCTATATAAGCTATTACGTGTATTGAATTTTTAATTTTTAAACAGAATGCTTAGGATTTTGAGTCAGAAGTCCAATGGTGCAGTTCAAATGGTGTGTGTGTTTATATACTATCCATGGTAAAATTACATAGTTTCTTCATGCTTTATACTCTTCACCCAAACAATGAAAACATTAGTAATTACCTATTTTGTAAGTTCTAATTGTAATTGCATGTTTGGGGTGAAGTTTACATATAAATAATGATGTAATTATTTATATAATCCATCAGTTCAATTTGAAATAAAATCAGATCTTAATCCAGATAGACTACTCATTAACATTCCTGGGGAGAAAAACAAGTATGACGAATACAAGACATCACATCTAGACAATGCATTGTTAATGAATGTGAATGCATATGTTTTAACGTAAGATTAGAGCAACAAATCTAAGACTTTCAGACTTTGTGAATCAGCTGACAGCCACCCAGCAATCCATCCACATCTTGAAATTCAAAAGTTCCTAATATAATCCTATTAGATAAAGGAGCAAATAAACTGGATAAAATACTTGGGCCTTTTCTAATCTTAACAGTAAAAGTGGTATAATTCTATGAGGGTGTTTCTGGCTCAGATTTCTCTTACCAAAGGAGTAGAATATTAGTTAATGTAGCAGCAAAGAGATTCATGTAAGAATATATGAGTTAGCAAATAGCTAACTGGATTTATTTTTAAACTCTTTTTATTTTTTATTTCAAAACAGTATGGTTTAGAAAGAAGAGGAAAGAAGAAAAAACAAGAATACAAATAAAAATTACAAAGAAACACCAAGGGTTCTTAAACAAATGTTACACAGAATGTCAAATATTTTTTAAAATCACTGTAAATCAACAATTACTATCCTTTCTACTCAATCACTTTTTTGCACTTAATTAAAATTCACTGTAGATTCTTCTACTCTCAAACATTTTCTCCAAAATTCTGTTCCCTTTTTACCTATATTTTTGCATTGTTATTATCCTTATTAGGAATACAATTTCTACTTAGCATTTTCTTTGGATTATTATCTTTCTACAAAGTTAGTCTTATCTTACTACATAGTTGCCTACTTATTTTTCCAATTTTTGATAATTAAATTTCTTAAATTTATTCTGCTTTCTATTTTAAAGCAGTTTTAACTCTAATTGCAGTTATTATGTACTTAAGTAGCTCTATTCATCTTAAGTCAATTTTCTATAACAAAGCATCAGTACAAGAGTTAATCTGTAACAATATTTTCAGAATTCTATTTCATTTCTATAACCCTTACTATAATAGCAAAGCATTAATTTAAATGTTACTCTCTGCGAATATTTTCAAAAATTCCACTTATTCATACATAGATTTTTTTAAAAAGTAAGTTGTGCATAGTAGAGTTTCTGATTCTGAAACCCTTGAAAGTACATACAGAACACAGCAGCAGAAATATTCCACTAATAAATAAAATTTACCTGCTGCAAATCTTCACTTTCAGATTTCAACTGGGCTACAAGAGCTCTCATGCAACCCTTCATAGAACACAGTGTGGCCTATTTAAAAGGAGAAAAAATCTGTCAAACAAATGATTGCAGGTGATCACGAGTTCTTTTTTTAATGGTAAACTTAAATAATATAATAAATATGACAATTATTATTTCTATTCCTCCTTTCTGCAATGTATGTGCTCAAAGAACCTAACGAGAAAATGAAAACAATTGCACAATAACCTACATAGTAAAACAACAGTAGTGAACAGCACTTTAAGATAATCAGGGAAGTGACTGAGTTAAATGCACATTGGAACAAAACCTTCTGTTCTTAACCAAAGGATCTCTCTACCCAAGCTGTCCTATAGACTTCAACTAAGTTCCAACTAGGAAGGCCCTGCCCCTCATACATACTGAACCTCAGATACCATGAAAACACCAAGCAGGCACTGCACAGTGGAACTGGGTTTTCCAGCAAGTTTATAGGTGATGAGGCCATTCCAGTGACATCCTTTTTATTATTATTATTATAACATTTCTATGCCGCCCCTTGCCGAAGCCTCGGGGCGGCTTACAACACAATAAAATACATTGAAATACAATAGAACATAATAAATTACCATTAAATACAAAAAATAAGATTAAAATTATCAGTATAAAATAAGTAAATAAATAATATAGGAGGAGAAAAGAGAAGGAAGAAGAAGTTGCCCTGGCCAGATCATATGTTTTAACAATTAAAATGAGGTTTAAATAAAAAGGTCTTTACCTGGCGCCGAAAAACCAGTAACGACGGTGCCAGGCGGACCTCTTTGGGGAGTGAATTCCATAGGTTGGGCGCCACCGCAGAGAAAGCCCTCCTCTGAGTACTTACTCTCCTAATTTCTTTCATGGAGGGTTCCCGGAGAAGGGACTCTCCCGCAGATCTCAAAGGGCGGTCGGGCATATACGGACGTAAGCGCTCGTTCAAGTAGCCAGGACCCAAGCCGTTTAGGGCTTTATAGGTCATAATCAACACCTTGAATTGGGCCCGGGCTTCAATGGGAAGCCAGTGAAGCTGACGGAGGACTGGAGTCATGTGAGCATAACGCCCAGTCCCCGTCAGCAGCCTGGCAGCTCTATTTTGCACCAATTGAAGTGTTCGGACTGTCTTCAGGGGAAGCCCCATGTAAAGCGCGTTACAGAAGTCTAGGCGGGAAGTCACCAGCGCGTGTGTCACCGTCGCCAGGCAGTCGTACTCCAGGTAGGGGCGCAGCTGATTAATCAGCCGAAGCTGAAGGAAGGCGCTCCTCGCCACCGCTGTCACCTGAGCTTCCAAAGAAAGCTCCAGATTGAGGAGTACTCCTAAGCTGCGGACCTTATCCCTAAGAGGGAGCGTTGCACCATTCAGGACCTTGTCCCAGGCTGTTTAAAGTTTTAAAGAATCAAGGCCAGTATATTGCACTGAGCACAGAAACAGATTTTTAATCAGTATCAGCATACCAGTACTGGTATTGGTACTAGAATGGAATGATATGCTCCAATTTCTTTGCCCATGCCAATTCAATGGTTGAATTATGGAACAACCGGTATTTCTGGACTTCAAAAAACAGCCCCACATATTTACTATATTTGTATATTGACTTTTTTCCTGAAAAGAATCCAAAAGGCATCTTATATAATCTTCCTCTCAATTTTAGCATCACAACAGCCCTGTGAGTTAGTTTAGGCTGATAAGTAGTAACTGGCCCAAAGTCACCCCATGAGCTTTTTGCCCAAGGAAGAACTTGAATCTGAATCACCTGAGTCCTAATCCACACTGTCACACTGGCCCACGTGTAATTCATAGATTACTTCTCACTTCTTCAAGTAAGAACTCAGTTGACTTTCCAGATTGAATTAGTAAATGATACTTTTGATCGCATGAACATCCAGAAACAGTGCTGGAATTAGGAGCAATCCCAAACTGGTTCAAGTACTAGATCAGTGATTTTTTTTCCTATTAACCAGCCAGGCATTCAGGAATGACACCTGAGGACCCAATAAGACTGAAGGAAGCACACAGTAGTCTTATCTTACTTCCCCCTTATCTGGTTTGTCCTATACCCATCACCAAACCTTTCCTTCCCCTTCATGGATCTCTGCCTTGCTGTGGTGAAGGGGCTTGTGTAGCACAATGAAGCTATGAGCTATGCCATGCAGGGCCACCCAAGATGGACAGATAATAGCAGAGAGCTCTGACAAAAGGTGATCCACTGGAGAAGGAAATGGCAACCCACTCCAGTATCCTTGCCATGAAAACCCCATGGACAGTATCAACAGGCAAAGAGAGATGACGCTGGAAGATGAGCCCCACAGGTCAGAAGATGTCCAATGTGCTGCTGGGGAAGAGCAGACTAGTACTATTAGCGCCAGAAAGAATGAAGCGACTGAGTCAAAGCCGAAAGGACACTCAGTCACGGATGTATCTGGTGGTGAAAAGAAAGTCTGATGCTGTAAAGAACAATACAGCACTGTGCCTCAGATCATGTGCTTCTTGTTGCAAAATTCAGGCTTAAATTGAAGAAAGTAGGGAAAAGCACTAGGCCACTCAGGTATGACCTAAATCATATCCCTGATACAGTAGAGGTGACAGATAGATTTAAGGAATTAGATCTGATAGAGTGCCTGAAGAACTATGGACGGAGGTTCGCAACACTGTACAAGAGGTAGCAACTAAAGCCAACCCAAAGAAAAAGAAATGCAAGAAAGCAAAATGACTGTCTGAGGAAGCTTTATAAATAGCTGAGGAAAGAAGGGAAGCAAAAGACAAGGGAGAATGAGAAAGATACACCCAATTTAGCTGTCTAAATAAAATAAAATGAATGCAGAATTCCAGAGAACAGCTAGAAGAGATAAGAAGGCCTTCTTCAATGAACAGTGCAAAGAAATAGAAGAAAACAATAGAGTAGGGAGGACCAGAGATCTCTTCAAGAAAATTGGAGATATGAAGGGAATGTTTCATGCAAAGATGGGCATGATAAAGGACAAAAATGCCAAGGACCTAACAGAGGCAGAGGAGATTAAGAGGAGGTGGCAAGATTACACAGAAGAATTATACAAGAAAGAGCTTAATGTCCCTGATAACCACGATGGAATGGTCACTAAAGCCTTTGATTGTGTGGATCACAACAAATTGTAGCAAGTTCTTAAAGCGATGGGACTACCAGACCATCTTAATTGTTTCTTGAGAAACCTGTATGCGGGTCAAGAAGCAACAGTGAGAATTGGACATGGAACTACTGATTGGTTCAAAATTGGGAAAGGAGTACGGTAAGGCTGCATACTGTTGCCCTGCCTATTTAACTTATATGCAGAGCACATCCTGTGAAAGGTGGGGCTTAATGAATCACTAGTTGGAATTAAGATTGCTGGGAAAAATATCAACAACCTCAAATATGCAGATGATATCACTCTAATGGCAGAAAGTGAAGAGGAACTAAAGAGCCTCTTGATGCTGGTGAAGGAGGAGAGCACAAAAGTTGGCTTGAAACTCAACATCAAGAAAGCTAAGATCATGGCATCCAGTCCTCTCACTTCCTGGCAAATAGATGGGGAAGAAATGGAGGTAGTGACAGATTTTATTTTCTTGGGCTCCAAGATCACCACAGACGGGGACTGCAGCCAAGAAATTAAAAGACGCTTGCCCCTTGGGAGGAAAGCTATGGGAAATCTAGACAGCATACTAAAAAGCAGACATCACCCTGCTGACAAATGTTCGTATTAGTCAAGGCTATGATTTTCCCAGTTGCAATGTATGGATGTGAAAGCTGGACCATAAGGAAGGCTGAGTGCCGAAGAATTGAGGCCTCTGAACTGTGGTGCGGGAGAAGACTCCTGCAAGTCCCTTGGACTGCAAGGAGATCAAACCAGTCAGTCTTAGAGGAGATCAACCTTGACTGCTCTTTAGAAGGCCAGATACTGAAGATGAAACTCAAATACTTTGGCCACCTAATGAGAGGGAAGAACTCACTGGAGAAGAGCCTAATGCTGGGAACAATTGATGGCAAAAGAAAAAGGGGACGGCAGAGGATGAGGTGGCTAGATGGAGTCACTGAAGCAGTCGGAGTGAGCTTAAGTGGACTCTGGGGGATGGTGGAGGAAAGGAAGGCCTGGAGGAATGTTGTCCATGGAATTGCGATGAATCGGATGCGACTTCACAACTAAGAACAAAAAGAATCCAAGCACATTCTTATTTTTGCCATTTATTCACTCCCCAAAACTAGGAGTATCAGAAATAACTTTCCTTTTCCATCTAGAAATGGGGTAGCTCCACCAACATATGGTACCCACAGGGTGAGCTCTCTTCAAACACACCTGCTACTGAAAAGTCCCTATACCTGCACAGGGCCAGGGGAAAACCGTCCTCCTCCAGAAACACTCTCTGGAGAAGAGGCATGCCAGTGGGTAGATATCAGAATCTGCTGAGAGTTGGGCTTTGCCACTCAGGGAGATGATCATACAGCTTCTCTGGGTTCTCATGGTAGTGGCAGCGGAGAACTCCCTGAAAAAGAATTTTTGAAAATCTCCCTACTGCTCTGTTCTCCTAGCCTCAATTCTGCTGCTGCTTCTGTCACTGTTATCGTAAGGAACAGTTCCTTTCCTCCCCAGAAATGGCTGCTGGGGATGCAGTTCCAGTGGCTAGATGACAACATCTGTTGGGGTTGAAGATCACCTCACTTAGACAGATATTTGATACCGCTTCTTGTGGCTTCTTGCAGCAGCTATGGGAAAGGAAGGGAGCTAGATGAAAAGTTAAAAAACAGTTATCACCGTTTTTAATTCCTTCCAGTCGCTGCTCCATGCCATGCTGGCTGATGCATGCTTGTAAGCCTTTTCTATGTCTAAATTTGCATAGGACAGTATCTTTAAACTATCAAAAACAATCCTTTTATTTGCAAAGGATAATAGCATGCCATGTAAAAAAAAAATGCAGAGGGACTAAGTGAATCACTTTTTGTTCCATATCCAGTTTCATTGTGGTAGCTTAATGTTAACAAAATTATTAAACAATTTTTATATGTAGAATAGCCCAAATTCCAAACGCTACAGCAAAAATATTAAGCAAGGAAAATACATAGTAAAAACCCCTACCTTATTTGCTACATCTCCAAAAGTTAAATTTGTCAGAGCCATTCCAGCATATCGTCGTAATGTGACACTATAGTGGTCATTAGTAAGCCCATACATTTCACAGTCCACCTGCAGCAATTCTGCAATTGCTTGCAATCCCCCTATAAAAATAATTGAAATATTTGTAATATTTTTTTTCTCAGCCAATATTTTCATTTTCCAAAATTTCAAGGACAAAGCAAGAAAATAGCTAAAAGAATTTCTAACTGAACAACAAATGAAGACATGTCTTAAAGAACAAGGGATGTGTTAGGATAAAGTATTATCAATCCAAGAGAAAAGCAAACAAACCAATGTGATTCAGAATTATAAAAACATATCTTTACATATTGCAATACCCTAAACATTCAGTGCTTCAATGCTTTTCTTCTGTTTTATACTTATATCATGCCACAAGTTGAGCTGAAAGAAAAGAATCATATGTACGTAGAACCACTGCTATTTTCCCCTGCATATATGCCAAATTGTGACCTTACGACTGAGGGGTCAGGAATCAAGATGCTCATCTGAATATATATTTTCAAATTAGGAACCAAAGAATTCTCCATAAAGTCAAAATGGTAGTTTGGAGAGGTGACTTTATGGCTTATACACAAAATCATACCCTTTTATTCTAGGACAGGCTTTTTCCTCCCAGTCTCTTCCAGGTTCATGAGATATGTTGATCTCCGTGGCTGAGGGATGCTGGGAGGTGTGATCCAACAAATATGAGGGCACCAGATTGGATAAGGCTAGTCATACCTGACTGCCCTTCTGGACTTCTTACCCACACTGCAGAGAGATGTAGGATGGAGCCATGGTTCAAGATACTTCCTACCCCTGCAGACTTGTGAGTCCTCAGTGCATTGTTGCAACCTAGCAATGCACATAGATGTTTATGTCCATGCAGTTAGTATGGCAGAGTATGTTTGTACATTGGCACACTGCATGGCAGCAAAGGGGAGTACTACTCTATTGTTAGAGCAATGGTGCTACTCTAATGAGTAAGCAGTTGCTTCAGCTGAGCAGCAGGCAAAAATAGCAGCTGGCTGAGAGCACACCCAAGGGATTTACAGAACAATGAGGGACAGATGGGCAATTAAGCAGGAGTAGTGCACCATGGGATTTATTTACAGCTGGGAGGCTGATGGGATACCTGCTGCAAGTAGGAGGAATGAGGAAGGAGGGTGGAAATCACACAACCATGGAAATCACACACAAAACCACACTTAGCAGTAGTCATGCAAGATGACTTAGTATAATGTGTGAATGTAAACTGTATGTTTCTTGTAAACAATATATTGCTATTTAGTTGGTTAATTTGTTTGATTTGTACTCAGTCTTTCTAATTTAAAAAAGGCACAAAAAGCCAAAAGCCACTTACTTTCTTTTACAATACTTTTAGTTTCAGTACCAATGAACCGGGCACAATGGGAGCTTCCTGGAAAGTCCAGAAGACATGGGACTACAATAAATGTGCCCAGTCTCTGGTTCTCTTTGTAATCCAACTCCCAAGTTGGATAGTCAATTTTCTAGGCAGACCTCAGATAGGTCCATAGATTAGAATATCATGAAAGAGTTGTCACAAAATGGACACTGTCATCTGACCTAGCATTACCCCTCCCTAGCTCCTGGGCCTCATATTCTCACTCCTCCCTCTTCTTGATAAGGAGCCTGTGTTCTCATGCATTCAGAGGGCCCAGCTGGATTGTCCTCCAAAAGATTAGATGACAGCCAGATTTTCTCCTCTCTGTCTCCAGCTCCCACACCCTAAGCACCTCATCAACATTTTTCTCCTCCCCATTTGACTCAGTCAGTTTCCATGTCTTCCTGGGAGTCTTTCTGCAGATGTGCTCAGCCCAGTCCCTATTACCACACACACATCCTTCCAATATCTCTAACGCCCAAACAGTTCTTACTATACAAATACTCAGAATTCCAAATTCTGGCATTCCATATAACAAGTATTTGTCCATTACAAAATGCGGAACAAGGATAATTTACTTCATCTGACACACATATACTCCCAAACATGACAACAGATTAAATTGATGGGAAACGGGAATGATGTATTATATCTTTGGCTCATAAAATTTCTTCTCGCAAGTATATGGATATGAAGAGAAAGATTAATTTTCTTGTAGTGTAATCCTTTTGGACTTACCGAGCTCATTCATTGCATGCCTGTGCTCTTCATCAAATGAAAGCTTCATTAGCACACATACTGCAGGACAGATCTGATGGTCAACTGGAGCTGGCACTGTGTCAGAATAAGGAAAATAATTGCCATTTATTTTGTCAATTAAGATTTTAATAACACAAAATTTGGAAGTCAGGCTTTAAAACTGTTTATTGAAATGCAATATAATTATCACACAGACTGCCAACTATGCTTCAAGTGCAACAGTGGATCCAGTAGCATGGATATATTTCACACTTGATTAAGTAGAAATAGTTGAGACCCTGTAATGAATAACAGCTACCCACTGTCAAAGGTCACAGAATTTTCCAACCACAATCACTTCCACATTGCCTAGATACAGATTCCATCTAACACTCTCTGTAAACAGTACTGTGATAACTGAGACTTCCAAGCCTAGCTATACTGTATGGCAAGAAGGAGGCAAGAAGGTAGTAATGATCTAGGAGTTTTTGCTGGGTAGTACTGGGCTTTGGACATCACCTAACAGCATCATATGCTGCTCTTTCTCTCCATGAAATGGAGCAAGGCTCATGTAAGAAATGAGAATGAGACAGAACAATTCTGTAGAAGATGGCAGCTTGCTATCACACCAACTGGAACTGACATGACAAGTTATTCCTCAGCAGTATCAATTGGATTACACAGTCATGAATGAATCCAGTGTATCAAAGACACTGAAAGATCTATCACAGGGGTCCTCAAACTTTTTCAATAGGGAACCAGTTGAAAGGCAGCGGCCACCCGGGCTGGTGGGGGGGGGGGTGCCTGGGCACGCGGACCAGTGAGGTGTCATCAGGTGCATGTGAGGTGGTGTTGCACGTGCGCGCGGCGGTGGCAACTCGCTCACTCGGCGAACTCCCAGCAAGTCCAAAACCACCTCTGAGCAAGCAAGCCACCGCTACCAGCCCGCACTGCAAGGCAGCGGCGAGCACGTGTGCGTGGGGGAGGCAGGTGGCAGCGGTGGCTTGCTCGCTCGTAGATGGTTTTGAACTCATTGGGAGATCTCCCAATGAGTT